TCTTGTGGGGCACTCTTGTAGGAAACTCTTGTGGGACACTCTTGTGGGACACTCTTAGAGGACACTCTTGTGGGATACTCTTGTGGGACACTCTTGTGGGACACACTCTTGTGGGACACTGTTGCGGGACACTCTTGTGGGACACTCTTGTGGGACACACGTGTGGGACACTCTTGCGGGACACTGTTGCGGGACACTCTTGTAGGACACTCTTGTGGGACACTCATTTGGGACAGTCTTGCGGGACACTCTTGTGGGACACTCTTGTGGGACACTCTTAAGGGACACTCTTGTGAGACACTCTTGCGGGACACTGTTGCGGGACACTCTTGTGGGACACTCCTGTGGGACACTCATTTGGGACACTCTTGCGGGACACTCTTGTGGGACACTCTTACAGGACACTCTTGTAGGAAACCCTTGTGGGATACTCTTGTAGGACACTCTTGTGGGACACTCTTGTAGGACACTCTTGTGGGACACTCTTGTAGGGCACTCTTGTGGGACACTCTTGTGGGACACTCTTGTGGGACACTCTTGTGGAACACTCTTATGACACTCTTGTGGGACACTCTTGTAGGACACTCTTGTGGGACACTCTTACGGGGCACTCTTGTTGCACACTCTTGTAGGACACTCTTGTGGGTCACTCTTATGGGACACTCTTGTCGGACACTCTTGTGGGACACACGTGTGGGACACTCTTGTGGGACACTCTTGTGGGACACTCATACGGGACACTCTTGTGGGACACTCTTGTAGGACACTCTTGTGGGACACTCTTGTGGGACATGCGGGACACTCTTGTGGGACACTCTTGTGGGACACTCATACGGGACACTCTTGTGGGACACTCTTGTGGGACACTCTTGTAGGAAACTCTTGTGGGATACTCTTGTAGGACACTCTTGTGGGACACTCTTGTAGGACACTCTTGTGGGACACTCCTGTAGGGCACACTCTTCGTACGAGACTTCCTCCAAAAGTCACGCTGCGAGACTGCAAGACGAGCGTTTCGTACGAGACTTCCTCCAAAAGTCACGCGTCAAGTCTCAAAAACGGGCGTTTCGTACGAGACTTCCTCCAAAAGTCACACGTCAA